CAGCTCTGGTGTATGTGGCTGGCGCCCTAGCTGCTGAGATATAGGTGCTGAGCCTCAAGGATTATTCTTGATAAAATAGATGATGTGTTATGTTGCTTTTAGATAAGATTGGGGTTGATGGCTCAGCGCCTGTAGCACGGTGGTTCAAATCTGCCAGCCTCAGTGTTTGTGGCCTGTGCCGTAACTTCTGTGCTAGGGACAATAAGCTACCATTTTTCATAAGAAATCCTGCAGAACTATTTGTTTTCAATTTGTTAACTGATTTTTTCCCCTTAAAATGCAGGATATAAAAGTTTACACAGCTATATATTTTAGTTTTTTTTTATTGCTTATAAAACTTTTAACTTGTTACTGTGAACATTTAATTAGAAGCAAAACCCTAAATGAAAACCCCCTTGACTTCCCTGGATCTAGGCAGGGTCTAGCTCTTACCATGTGGAGAATCATGCAAGGCTGGTAATCCTGCATGGGTTCAGGGTGAATGATATCAAAAGTCAACTTTTCTATTTTTTTTTTGAGACAGAGCCTAAAGCTATTCCCCTGGATAGAGTGCTGTGACATCACAGCTCACAGCAACCTCCAACTCCTGGGCTCAAGTGAGTCTCCTGCCTCTGCCTCCCAAGTAGCTGGGACCACAGGCGCCCGTCACAATGCCCGGCTATTTTTTGGTTGCAGCCGTCGTTGTTTGGTGGGCCCAGGCTGGATTCGAACCTACCACCTTAGGTGTATATGGCTGGAGCCACTTGAGCCACAGGCCGCCAAGCCAAAAGTCAACTTTTCTGATCCAGAATGTAATTTTATTACTATTAAGGGTGTTGTTATTCAAAGTATTGTTTATTTGTTTGAGACACAGTCTTATTATGCTGCCTTGAGACACAGTCTTATTATGCTGCCTTCGGTAGATGCTGTGACGTCACAGCTCACAGAAACCTCAAAGTCTTGGGCTTAGAGATTCTCTTGCCTCAGCCTCCCAAGTAGCAGGGATTACAGGTGCCTGCCACAACACCCAGCTATTTTTTTGTTGAAGTTGTTGTTGTTTAGCTGGCCTGGGCCGGGTTCAAACCCGCCAGCCTCGGTATATGTGGCCAATGCCATAACCACTGTGCTACGGATGCTGAGCCAAAGAATCATTCACTGTAAAAGTATGTTAACTAGTGATTATACTAAAATAACATTTGTCTAGTATGGGATCAAAATGTGGCCTCAGATCTGCTCATCAGAATCACTTAGCCGGGATGAAAGGGCATTGCTAAAAATGCAGATTCCTGGGCCCCACTCAAGGAGTGAGCTGTGGCATCTTCCATTTCTTTTTTTTTTTAAGAGACAAGAGTCTCACTTTGTCACCCTCGCTAAAGTGCTGTCGCATCACAGCTCACAGTAACATCCAGCTCTTGGGCTTAGGTGATTCTCTTGCCTCAGCCTTCTGAGTAGCTGGGACTACAGGTGCCTGCCACAACGCCTGGCTATTTTTTTGTTGCAGTTTGGCCAGGGCCAGGTTTGAACCTGCCATCCTCGGTAGATGGGGCCCGCACTCTACCCACTGAGCCACAGGCGCTGCCTGGCATCTTCCATTTCTTTTTTTTTTTTTTTTTGCAGTTTTTGGCTGGGGTTGGGTTTGAACCTGCCACTTCCAGCATAGGGGGTTGGTACTCTACTCCTTTGAGCCACCTGCATCTTCCATTTCTAACTGATGATGAAAACCACTGCTCTCACTTGATATATGAATAATCTAGTAGGCTCCATCAGTAAATCAGTACATCAATGTCTGCAAATCAAGGTCACCAGCAGGAAGAAGAAAAACAACCCATGCAGGGTGCTAGTGGGTGGAACAGTTTCTACCTGAAAGAATTCCATTTGGAAAGATTTCAAAGAAAGCTACTCAGTCTACAAGTTTCTTTTACCAGAAATAATATTCTTTTTTTTTTTTTTTT